AGGGCTACAAAAATGTATATTCTAAAAGATAAACGAAATTTAAAAAAATAAAATAAAAAACAAATAACTAAGCATCCTATGACAACCTTCACTAGCACTTGAAGGGAGTCCGGATAGTGAACTACTCACAACCCTCTTACTGATTGAGATTTGGATATTTTTTCCTTTTGATCTAAAAATAAGTAATACGAAAAACTGAATTGATAAAAAAATATCAGAAAAACAATTAATGAAGCCTTTGCTTTATTTAAATACATTTGAAACTTGAAGACATTTGTTTAATACTTACCATAATGACTTTTTCAAAGACAACTTATGAAGACCCATATCCATATCACTTTTCACTTTCACATATAAGAGAACGAGAAACAATAACTTTCCTTTTTTACCTGTTTACTGGTACCTTTGGGGGTCCATAGGGGTGTCCTTCGTAATCGTGAACTTAATATCCAATTTTATAATTGACTGACCGTCCTCATACCTCGTCCGATAATGGGCGTCAAATATTTCATGGCCTCAATACCTCGTCCAGTATGAGGGTGAATCATATCTCTGAAACTTTTTGGGTAAGAGATTTCACAGCCCCGTCCGATTGAGGTAACGTTCACGGTAGGGTTCCTTATGAACTGGGCTCGTTCCCCCTTTCTGTGGATAACCAGCAAGTCTTTTACATATAGATTTTCATCACCAAACAATCAAGAAACTCATACAAATATCTCATATCACATTCACATATCAATTAAACACATTCATACTAACGATATATATAACCAAAATAACTACATAACTTGATAAGACTATTTAAGTATAAATTAAGAACACGTACTATACGAAAATCAAGCAAGCAAGACAGTACAAAAAAATAAACAGGAAATCAAGACAATTCTGAACTAACCAGTTCCAGGTCTACTAGTAACCTGTAATTATTTTTAACATTTTTTAATTTTTTATAAAAATACAAAATTATATATTGTTAAGTCTCAATTTATCGTAACAAAGAATAGGGGTGAAGGATCCTTATCTGGATCAATGTTTCGAGACGTTGAGCTGTCTACTACCCCTCCTAATGAGTACCAGGTTTCCTGATTTTTTATGTGAAATTCAAAATACTCGTCACATACCTAAAAATATCTCAAAAAATCTAAAATCAGTACTCAAAACTCATTACAGCCAATTTTGGAGTTCTGACACGACGTCGTCGTCGTGCTTTGGCATCAGCTCCGTCACTTATGGTTGTGGTTTGCCTCTGTCTGGCCGGTTTTGACCGATTTTAGTCGTATCCTTGCAGAAAAATACGTTAGGGACCTCGGTTAGCTGAAAAATCACAAAAAAACTAAACTTACCAGCATGGAGGACCTCCAGGTGCAGTGGCTCCATCGATCCTCCTTCGCGACTAAGGTTCTTTCTTTGGCTACCTTGCACAGAAAAGGACGATGAACACAATGATCGAAAAATTATGTGAAACGGGAATCGAGAAAGGGCTCATTGGAGAAATTTTAGGGTTTTAGGTGCAGCGATTCTGCCGAGGTTTTCGACTCACCCGCCATCCCTCTTGCTCCGATTTGGCTATAAGGGTACTCGAAATCGAATTCTGAGTGGGTAGGGGGAATTTTTATCTTTTTTGGTGGTTGATGGTGGCTCCGGTGCAACAGCAATTGGCGGTCGACCTCCTTCTCTGACGTCTGATTCTTCTTCTCCAGCGAGGGCTAACAATTAGGGTTTAGGTTCTCGTATAATGAGAAGTATTTATGACCATCCTGTGTTGATCTGGACCGTCCATCACGATCGATCTTATCCGTCCGATCGTATTTAAGAAGGAAACGAATCTGAACCATTCATCACGATTGATTTTGATCGTCCGATTGCACCTAAAGGGGAAACGAATTCGAGCCGTCCATGCGCGCAGGATCGATCCTGGGTCGTCCGATAACAAGGCACGCAAATTGCCAACGTGGCCTCTCTCGTGGCACTGATGTCAGCGCACCTTGCCATGCAGCACGCTCTGATTCGTCGAAACTGCTAATAAGGCGGTCATATGTGGCCGAACTTTCTTTATTTATACTTTAACCCCCTATTTCTAATTTTTCTTTCAAAAACATTCTAAAAATCTAAATTTTCACTATTTATTTTCAAAATTATTTTCAATCTCGTTCCTAATTCATTTTTCTTAAAATTTCACTTAAATATTAATAAAATAAATTAATCAATTATTTTAAATTAATAATTAAAAAATAAAATTTTTTTATCAGGTCGTTCTTCGGGCTCAGGTATTATATTAATTATTAGCAGAAATATAACATTTAATGAGTTTGCTTTATGAGACTGTTAGAAAAAAGACAGTAGTAAAATTAGATCGCAATTTCAGAGAATGAGTACCGTTAAAAGTTAATCTAATAATCAAGGGAATGAAGTTCAAGTTTTTAATTAAGAATGTGATGACGCACCTGATCAATAGTAACCACATAATATTGTAACAAGTAGGGAGAGAAAATAGATTAACCAACCATAAAGATATGAAAATTTAATTGTATATATCTTGTTAGTTGTAGGAACTAAGTAGTTCAAATGCCAATGAAGGTACTGAAAGTTGTGTAGAGGGAGTCTGCACTTGTGAATTCTGTAGATATGATGATTAAAGCAATTTCAATTAGTAAGTTTTGGCACTACCTAGACTTGATTGAAGGATCTAGTACTCAACAATACCCTTGTGAGGGCATTTTGGTAAGATAGTGTGTTGAGATGGTTACTTTGTTGACAAGACAGAATTTAAGATAAGGGAAAAAATTGTTGATGTGGCTTGATTATGAGGATGTCTTATCTATATTTAGAAAATATTTTATATATATCATATGAGATAATTTATGTTATTTTGAGGAATATTTTATATTTATCCTAAAAAATACTTTATATATATCTTTTAGTGTTTTGTATGAAGAAAACTCTCGCAGTTTCTCTATATAAGAGCTTATAACTCTATTAATGATGCATTCTCATTTAATTATAGTAAAAAAGTTTATTTTTAGTCTTATTTGTAAATGTAGCTACACTTATCGAACCATGTTAAATTTTATATCTTTACTTATTCACACTCTACTTTTGTTGTGATTGTACACATAGCATGAATTAATTTTTCCAATGTGATTATTATTAAATATTTATTTGTTCAAAATAAAAATATTCGAATATAGTTTAATTTAATTATTATAACCCAAAAAAAATTAATATTTAACGGAATAAAATAAGATATTTAAAGTTGAAATAATACATTTCATATGAGTCAAGAAAATAAAAATAAAAACTTAAATTTAAAAAAAAAAAAACAAAAACAAAACCAGTTTGGGAAAACCTTAAACAAAGATATTTTGTAGAACAAAAAGGAGCTTCCAAAAGCCGTATGAACATCCCCCCGCCCACAACACGACAATCCACTATTTCTAAACCTTTATGACAAACTTGTGCACACAAATTCAGCAATCTTTACTAACTATTAATAAATTCATTAATTACAAATTTTTTAAAATAATTAATTCGTATTTTGAACTGGTTATAATTATTTTAATTTTAAAAAAATTAAATATTACTTTTGCTTAAAACTATAATAATTAACTAATATTAATTGAATTAAATATAGATTTCTAAATAAGTGTTATGAAAAACAGTTAGTTTATTTTTTAAATACAGGTTTCAGCTATGAATAATATAAACTTTTCTATGTTTACAATTTAAGGAAATCTATAAATAATTAATGAAAAGTAAGGAAATATATAATTTTGTGGAATTTTCTCTATCAAATTTCCATATTAATGCATTTAATATCTCAATATGATTTTTCCATCAGAAATGAATTTTAAACATTAAATATTATTTATTAATTCCCTCATATTAAATAAAATAAAATATTAATTACCAATTAAGTTAAAACAATAATTATTATACAGGTTTAATTGGTAATATCGATTTAGGGCGAATCCAGTTGTTCGTTTCTAATTTTGACTCCAATAGGCTCATTCCAGTTGTAAATTTTCATGGTTCACTATGAATCCGGATGTAAATTCCTCCCGAATTCGAAACAGTAACGACTTAAGTAGAGATTTTACCAGAGAAGAACAGGTGGAATCAACGATGGATTAGGAGAGATTCAAGGGATCAGAATCTCACACGGACTTGACTTTCATCCTCCGTACCGTCCGTTTATATATCACCCTCTCCCCCCCTCTCACTTCGTTATCTTGATCTGCGTGCTAAAGAGATAGAGAGAGAAATAGCAGCAGAGAAACCCATCTCTGCAAATTGATTCAGAGAAGACTCTTGCGTCTTCTCTTCGGGTCAATTTACGATATTCAATTCTCTCTCCGTCAAATCTCCAGATCAGGTGCGTTTTCGTCGATTGTTTTCTTTTCTGTTTCTTTTTGTATTTGTCGCACGAATGTCTTCGTTCCTGTTTTCTCATCTTCGAGTGCAACATCCCTTTCGATCAATTCTTTTTACAGTGGTGTAAATTAAACCTGCAGGTCGTCAAGATGGCTCTCACCATGAAACAGATGTCACTGCTTGTGGCCGCTTTTGGTGTATTGTCCTTCCTATTAGGGGTAATCGCAGAAAACAAGAAGGTATTTCAATTGCTAATATTATCTCTTACCTTATATTGTAATTGGCATATTATCTTCGTACGAAGGGTTTTATTTTCAACGTTGTTATCTTTCTTTCTTAATCCGTTCAACAGAATCATCTCCTCCGTCTTATATGTATATGTACCTACTTTAAATTGTTGTTATTTTTTATGATTGGTTCTCTGTTTAATTCTGTTTCTTGGATATTTACACAGCCTGCGTCTGGAACTCCCATTCCTTTAAAAGATTCGATTATATGCAAGTATCCAGGAGATCCAACCGTAGTCTTGGGGTATCTATCTGTGGTATTCCTGATCGCTGCCACTGTGGTTGGATATATATCTCTGTTTTACCCATACAAGGGAAAATCTGTTCCACAGTCTGTTCTGTTCCGGAGTACTAGTTTCACCATCTTCTTCAACATTGCACTGTAAGCAAACTTACCCAACTCTTCCTAAATTAGTGGCAATGAGAAAGAATGGCCATTGCTACACATCTTGTTAATTGGTATATGAGAAGCAGGTGCTTGTTAATTGGCTTGAATTGTTTGCTCTGACTTCTTTAATCACGTGGGATAATGTATTATTTATGCAAGGCGTCTGTTAGTTTATTACAATTCATAACCTAATATTTGATGATATGGGTTGCCATAGAGATTGTTAAGGCAGCCACGGCGGAATAGCTAATTTGAACACAGAGATATGATCACTATGAGGGATTGTATTAGTAGTTTGAATCTCAATGTCAGGTGATATCATAATTTAGAAAGTATTGCCACAATTCCGTTAATAGCTTTATAAAAGAAGCAAAATGTTGATCAATTGTAATTAAACAAAAATTAAATGTTATCCCACATCATCTTTATGTGTTACAGAATAGTTGTGTGACAATTTATAGATTGCCTATGGAGTAGCTATGATATGTATGTTTGGGATTTTTGTTCAAGAAGAAATCAACTAAAAAATGAATGATGCCGAAATTCTTGCTCTGGTTCTCTCTTACTCTTTCCTTGTAGGATAACTTCTGGATTGGCAGCATCACTGCTATTGTGGCCAACCATCACAGAGCAACTTCATCTGACTCGCAATGTTCACCGCAACCCCAATACCGATTGCCCCACAGCAAAAACTGGTCTTCTTGGTGGCGGCGCCTTTGTTTCTCTTGATTCAGCTCTCTTCTGGCTAGTCGCTTTGATGTTGGCTGACAATGCCCGAGAAGACCATTTCGATGAAGATTTACCCTCAACTCTCAAGACAACAACCATATGATGATTTATTTTGACTAGGGCAAACCAAATGAAATGAAAAAAAAATCTCTTGTGTGTAACACATGTTATCTCTATGATTTTCAGTAAGGATTTTCTTATCCATGTTAATGTAATAGAAATTATTTTTCTGGCTTTTAATTGTCTGTTTCCTGGTATGTATAGCAGAAGCTTGTTTTCATTTTTGTGCATTTCTCTCTCTCAGGTCTCTATAATCTAGATCAAATATGCATTCTCACCCTCCAAGCATACATAAAAGTAAAAGCAAAAGCAAAAATGGGAGTTATTAGGAATCTGTTAAAACTTGTTTTTTGACAGTTTGTAGAAGATAACATACACTTTCTATTTCACTCAAGGATCCTCTCAGAAGAAAAGAAATTAAGTTTGTGAGAATGAACAGGTAGGTAACCAACCAACCTACTTCACAAAAAGAAAAAGATAAAAGCAGTTTACTTTTTTCGGAAGTGTAATTCTTATGGAAGAATCGATACCCTATGTATATTTAACAAGGACCATGTAATTAATATGAGAAAATGAAATTTCAAAAATTTGCTTACTAAAAAAGAGTGATGCTTCAAGTGAATATCAACAGAATACTAGTACATAAATTTTTTTTTTTTTATATATAACTTATTGCACCCACATAATATATAATTTCAAGGTAAGTTTTTATAATAAAATAAAAAACAATACAATTAATTTGTAAACAAAATTTATTCACAGTAAAAAAAAAAAAAAGAAATTCTAATTAAATTA